CTTATGATTATGACATTTCTGTGAGAGCTGTCTCACAGGTCATGATGACATCTGGTGCACTTAAATCAGAAACTTATGACAGTTTAATCACTAATATGTCAAAACTAACCCTTTCTTCCCAAGTGATCTAAGACCATAATATTACTTCAAGCCAGGTCAGTATCACCCTGGTGTTCCCCGTGTGTTCCATGTCCCAGCAAAGCATCACCCTTTTCTATGACCAGTACTGCACAGTGTGTTTTGAAGATGACAACTCAATTCATCACAGTTAGTTTGGCTAAACTTAGCTGAGCTGGGCAACCTTGGTATGTCAAATAACTCATTTTTAATGAGAGTGCTTCTATCTCTAAAAGGCCAGGTGCAGAGTTACACACACACACACACACTGCTCTGCTTCTCTCCCTTTGGCTTTGGAAGGCAGTCATACACACACGCTGCTCTGCTTCTCTCCTTTGGCCTTGAAAAGTTTTTATAAATGTATTTGTGAAAACAACTTTAAACTTATACTCATAACTTATACTTATAACATTAACTCTATTTTATTCTAGTCATTGGTGCAGATTAATACACTACATCCTCAGAGATCTTTATACACAACTTTAAAAAAAACAACACTTGTTTTGCTTGCTGTTAATACACTGTCTCAGATTTACTGCTTTTCTCCCTTTGTAGGGAACCGTCATCTTGTTCAGGGACTGCTTTTATGTCTCTTTCTAATGCCTTAAAGCAGTATTGAGGAATGTGAACAACCCTAACGCTGCTATGGATTTGGTATTTCTCATTGAATTGGTCCAACCACTTTGACGACATGAGGCCAGCACCTTGAGCGATACTGGTACTGTTACTGATAGTTATAGCCCAGTGCTCCTTAACAGTTTGGAGCCAAACAATCCCTTTATAGCTAAAGATTGCTACAAAGGTCATTATTAGGCCCGAGCGGCGAAGCGCTGTGAAGGCCTTGTAATAATTATGTGATTTGTGGTGAAAGTGCACTATATTGTTCTGAATGACATATAAGTTGGTTTGGTATGTCATGTGACTTATGGGAGCCAAAGTATCTATTTGAAGTTGGGGAAGGTAGTCAGGTTGAAGTGCTGGTATTAGGGCAGGGGTGCTTTGTCAATGTCATCTTTGTGCCAGGTGGTTGATTTGGCTGCTGACATTTTGCTGTTTGTGGGCCTCTTGGCTTGCTGTGTATGCTGTTATTGTCATCTTTATCCTCTTCGCTATCATTATCAATATCATCCTAAGCCTTCAGGACCTCCACTCTAGGTTGTGTTTCATCTTAGAAGAGGGGACCATCTCATTTGTGTCTTGAATGTGCAAGTTGTGGGTATTTAGGACATAGTCTGGGTCTGGCACATCGTCATCATCTTCCTTGTCACTGGTGGCAGAGTGGGATGGCACAATAGTTTTACTGTGTTTGCAGTAATACAACTGAGCCGACAGCTGGCAATAAAAATTCGGGAAATAAAAGTCAGAAAACTTATTAGTTAAAGACTGACAAAAATCAAAAATATTTACAGCAATAAAATGCACAACAACTATTAACAGACAAACTGACAAAAAATAATACATTTTCACTGCAATCACAGATAAAACAGTTGTTACATAATAAAACTGATAAAAATGCTTGAAAATGTGTAGAAATGGTTAAGGCTTCTTATTGGATCATTATGGTATTATGCAAATTCTTGGCAACATCTATCACAATATAAAAACAAATTTTCCTCATTTGTAAAGTACATTCAGTACTTGCATCAGGGGTATTCCAATAAGAGTCATACCTCCATAACTCCAGAGTTTACAGGAAGAGGGCATATGATCAAATGGATCATGGTCCTTTTTCCTTCTGTATTTTCAAACATTTTGCTTATTCCTTAGCAAATAATAGACATGTTATCACCTTAAATAACTATTTAACCATGATGTGATTTCATCGACTTGTCATTAGTAGTTTTTATTTTTCACTGTAAATTTGGAAAGTAACTGATCTCTCCTGATTGGTCAAATGCCAGAATAACATGTGCAACCATGAAGTAAGATCTTTCCTGGTTGGCTTGATTAAAGTAACTGGGGGTAAAGTAACTGGATTAAGGTAAAATAAGGAGGGACTTTATCTATAAGATGTGTAAAAGTTATCCAAAATGACAACTTGCCCAATAAAGAGTTAAGGGCAATTTATGCTTCTGACATAGCCTCTGCAACTGTCAAATGTCTGTGTGGTCGTCCTTCTCTATTCTGTGTGATCCGCGTAGTTCTCGCGAATTCTCGATTAGGCTCCCCCTTGGGTTAACCCTAACCCTTTGGCAGGAAACTGCTGTGTGTCCATAGAAATTCCAGACCGACGGTGCAGAAGCATACCAGCAAAACTGGTTCGTGACCAGACCCAAGCGACATTTGATGTGTGCGGTTGCAGAAGTCTAATCTGCTCTTTAATTGTTTTTCACAACGTCTATGTGCTGTTGTGCTGTTTTCCAATTATTTTTTTTCTCAATCTAAGCAACTAAAAGGCCTTCTGATTACCCATGTAATGGATAATCAATGTCATCAATAATCATGTAATCAATCACGCACGAGGAGAGGTTTAGTGTTCTTTAAATTCAGGAGGATCAAAGGAAAATGTAGCTACGGATAGGCTGTACGAAGAAAGTCCTATCAGCAACAATGGTTAGAACTAAGATAGTGTGCTGCAAAAATCAGAGA